AATGTATACATGAACAACACAAACATTCACTCTCTCTCTCGTTACTTTTTCTGTCTTTTTGTATTTGTACTTGTTTGAGTTGAGTTGCTATTGATGTGTAGCAGGGTAACTGCAATTTTGATTTACTACATCTTATGAGTGTTACAGGTTAAAGCTTTCAGTAATGTGTGCGTCTGATTTGACAGAAAGTCAGGAGTGGCAGTCATTTAATTTAGCTGAAGGTCCTTGAAATGAACATCCACACCCATCCACCCACCTGGGTCCTTATTCCCAAACACACACACTATAGGGTGTACACACTACAGAGCAACCTACAATTACCTTTGTGTTTGGGGACTAAGTTGAAGTTTAAATCTGAATCATTGATAGATAGATGTTCCCCCCTGTAATACCATTGTGTGTGTGTGTGTGTGTGTGTTCGTGTGTGTGTGTGTGTGTGTGTGTGTGTGTGTGTGTGTGTGTGTGTGTGTGTGTGAGTGTGTGTGTGTGTGTGTGTGTGTGTGAGTGTGTGTGTGTGTGTGTGTGTGTGTGTGTGTGTGTGAGTGTGTGTGTGTGTGCGTGTTGTGTTGTGTGTGTGTTGTGTGTGTGTGTGTGATGTGTGTGTGTGTGTGTGTGTGTGTGTGTGTGTGGTGTGTGTGGTGTGTGTGTGTGTGTGTGTGTGTGTGTGTGTGTGTGTGTGTGTGTGTGTGTGTGTGTGTGTGTGTGTGTGTGTGTGTGTGTGTGTCTTTGAAGAATGGCAGCCTGTGTGTCTCTTTGTGTCGTCTGTCAGCTGTGTGTTTGACGCTCCTCTGTCGAATGTCCTCGGCTTTGATCATGGTTTCTCCTCCGCTCACATTTCAATGTCTTCACACCGACGTTCACACCCAGTCTGAGAACATCAGAGAAGTTCTCTGATCTTTTACTTGAGTCAAAGTAGTAAAACCTCAGTGTAGAAATACTCTGGCATTCAAAATACAAGTACAAAGGTATTATATTTTAAAATAACACCGTACAATATGCGCTTCACTGTCATCTGGCCGCTATTACATTACTTTCTACTTACATGTTATAATACTGCTACTAATCTTCTCTACCTTGAATGTGGCTTTATTCAATTTCTATGTTATTAACGTGTGCTTTTTTATAATCCTATTTTATTTATGTTGCTATAACAATGTTCAATTTCCCCATAGGACGAATAAAGGATTACTGTATGCTAATATTTGATCTGTATTAGCATTAAAAAATACTAAAATTCCCGAAACTAAAAGTACTCATTATGCAGAATGGTCTTTTTTAAGAATAATATATATTATATCACTGATTTATAATTATTGATCCGCTAATGTGAAAACAATTATAGTTTTGCATCTGGTAAAGGAACACTTTATTCAATTATTATGCTGCCAGGTATCTTAATCCAGAATACTGCTTAATAATTCATTTGTATATTAAGTTCTTCTAATAAAATGAACCAGGAAAGTAACTCATCTTGTCAAATCAATTAAATGGCACTATTTCTTCCTAATTGTTGTGGAGTAGAATTAATCAAATGGAAATACTCAAGTAAAGTACTTAAAAAGTGTACCTAAGTAGAGTAATGGTGTAAATATACTATACTATATTTCCAACACTGGTGAACACCCTATCTCCTCCCAGGTGTGTTCATTATTTCTTTAGGATTTAAGGATCATTTGACAAAGATTTATTTGATTTTCACCAAATATTAGACAACTAGGATATGTTGTGGAAAATGAAAGGAAACCTATTTTTTTTTGGGTGGGTTTCTTTGTCATTTTATATCAGAGAGAGAGGGTCCATGTCTTTACAGCTGCTTAAGTATAATACTTGAGTAAATGTATTTAGTTACTTTCCACTACTGGTGAAGTACAACTTATTTTCTTAGATGGTTTATGTTGCACACCAAAGCAAATTATACTTGTATGTGTAAACTGGCAATAAACCTGATTCTGTTTCTACCTAAGGCCCCGTCCACACGGACACGAAACGGGTGTTATCCGCTATAGTTCTTTATCGTATGGACGGTTCTTCCACACAAGGCCGTAACGGAACCGCGGAAACGGAGCCCTCAAACGATAACGCATCCCAAAGTGGGAAGGTTTGGTAACGTAACGCTTGCAGCACCGTGTGTACGCCCTAAAACGATCATAGCCCCGCCTCTCCTGCTCACCCCCGCGTCACCCGCGTCATTGCTGATGCGTTTCTCCAACAACAACAATGGCGGATCACAGCAGCTCTCTGTTCGTGCTCCAGACGCTACTGACCATGCTTCAGATGTTAGTGCAAACATCCACAGCTCCTCTACCACAACCATCAGAAACAAGTGGGCATGGAGAACTACATGAACTACATGATGCTAAATCCACCGCGGAGAATAAACAGAAGGGCAACCATGGCAACCATACTCGGGGGGTCTTATTCACTGCTTTTGGTGTATTTTGTGGCGGAAGTACAGCGCCACTTACAGGCCCGGCATATGTACTACAGCGTCTCCAGCGGGTCGAACGGTCTCGTTTCTTGAGCCGATTCCGTGTGGACGGAAGACTTTTTTGATATCGACCTCGGTTCGTTTTCGTTATCGTCTCCGTGTGGCCGGGGCCTAAATCCTCCTCGAGCTTCCCTCTGGGTTTCTTAACTATTCCTTCAAGATTAAAGGATCATTCGACAAATCAACAACTAAATGTGTGATTTTCACCAAATATTAAATGCAGCCCATCGGCATTGGATATGTTGTGTGAAGCGAAAGATTGGATTTCTTTCTCATTCCTTTTTTATCAGGAAGTGAGGGTCTTTGGAGCTGCAGACAGGATCTCACAGGCCTTTGTTAATGTGCTCGTTGTTCCTGAGGTGAGACTCTGAAGAGGTGCGACTCTTTCATGGTTCCTCCTTCAAGGAACAAATCCAGGAGAGGAAGGTGTTAAAAGAAAGAGGAGAGACTTTCTTCAGTGTCTAAATTGATTATATAGACTTTTAGCGTTTGGTTTGGTAGGCAAAGGAGTTAAATCTGCACAAAGCCATGCAACTCCCACTTAAAAATTGAGGAGTAAGGCAAGATCATGATACGTAGGACATTTTAAGACTATTTAAAGCAGCACCAACATGATAAAAATGTAAACTTAAAATCCCTTTCCAATTGGGACTACTTGTGGACACAGCCTAGTGCTTTAAATATCTCATAAATAATCAAACATATTGACAAAAGACCAACACATTCGATTACACCCTTTGAATCAGTTGTTGCTTTTTACATTTTGTTTTACTTGAATAAAACAATAGATTGTACTCTAATGACTAAACTTGAATAAGTTATATTACTTGGACAACAGATAGTGAGAGATGCTGTTGGTCTCTTTGCTGTACGCCATGAGTTGCTGTTTAAAGATAATTAAATGGGCTTTGTTTTGTCTTCCCATCAACTGTGCACATGGTTTTACCATGGAGCATATTCTTTAAATCAGGGGTGTCAAACTCAAATACACAGTGGGCCAAAAATAAAAAAATGGGTACTAGTCGAGGGCCGGACTGGTTCAATGTTATTGCAAAACTTATTGAAATGAACTTATTGCACATATTAAACCTGGAACTAACAAAGCTTAAATGATTGCCTATAAAAACAACATTAAATAATCAGTTGCATTCATTTCTTATGGCTCTATCTGCAGCTTCTCCAGAGTCATTTCTTATGATTACATTTTTCCACAGGCCAACAACAGCTTCAAGAAAACTATTTCCCTCAAAGAACAAACCAAACATGCCCTGTTGTCACAAGAAAGAAAGTGCAGAAGGAAACATCCATGTAAACTCAGGTTGCTGCTCTGTGATGCTAGTTCAAGCCAGATACTTGGCATCTCATCTTGGGTGCAAGTTCATCAATGTTTGGGGTCAGGCTCTGAGCTGAGGAGACCCTCAGGATTGAGTGAAGGTGTGCGTGCAATATACCGGCGGGCCAGATCTAATAGTAATTAGAAATTATCCTGCAGTTTTACTTTTCTTTTTGGTATTTATGTTCAAAAGACGTCATGTACAGACATTTAAACTCTATGTTTGAGTAAAAAAAAGAGGCAAAAATCGTATTTCTTTTTACTATTGTTAAGATCAGGCGACCATGTCTTGTTTTTATCTTTTATTTACTAGATGCTATAAATAAAACACTTAGTTGAAGTAGTGATCGTACTTTCTTTTTTAAGTGTTCCTACATAAAAAACATTTCTAAAAGGTCCTTACACACCAAGCCGATTTGCGGCGTCGATAGATGTCCTGTCGCCCTACTCAGATTGGTGTGTCTTGGTGTGTACTGCACCATCGTGTCTTTTCGGCCGTGCAGACACCTTCCGCCGCCGATTCGACATGTTGAATCGGGAGGCTGTCGGCTAAAGAAATCACTCTGATTGGCTGTTCAGCTTAGCGAATCAGTGCATGAGAAGCGAAACGGAAGTGAGGGAGCCAAACAAACTATTAAGAAGGCAAATCTGAGATTTCATTTAACTCCAGCTCTCGACACAGGTTCGGGAAAGCCCCATGAGCTTCTCGCTGTAGAGTGAAAATGGAACGCACACGCTATTCGTTGTTTGTTTATATCACGCAGTCTGTTCTTCTTCTCTCGGTTATCACGCAGTCTGTCTTCCGGTTGTTGCCTCTTTTGAATGACGAATACACACTACCGCCGCCTGCTGGTAAGGAGAGTTATTGCCACTCACGCATGCGCAGTTCGTACGTGCAACTTGGCCGTCGGCTGAAGTCTTTGCGGTGTGTTCCAGTGCGACACATGGCCAAGACACAGGAGACGCGAGGCGACGTTCCGTCGGGACGTGTTCTTTGGTGTTCTTTGGTGTGTAAGAACAAATTTGAAGGACAAATGCTCCTAATCAATTACTTTACAGACATTAACCTGGTGTCCTTTAAAAGAAAAATCACTTAATAAATGTAGATTCCAATATTTTATACCAACATTGAGAACATATCATTTGCCCTCAGACATTGAGTCAAGTCAGCTTTTCACTTACATTATTTTATTTATCAAATGCAGACATTTTTACTGGCATTTCTACACATCGTTACAACATAAAGTGGTCATTCTGAAGGAGGCTACTGGTCCGATAAACTACAGGCCTTTATGAAATACAATAGAAATATTTATATTAATCAGAGTCATTGCCAAATTTCTCGGTTTCTACAAGAGCTTTTCTCCACATACAAATCCTATATACACAGAGTTACAAAAAAAAGAAAGAAAGAAAGTGTGATCTGTTCCTCGTCTGTCCTTTGCCGGGTTATAAGTGAATGTTTCATCCTTTTTCAGGTGTGAGGAAAAGTCACAACATACTGAAAAGGAAAGTGAGGGGGTGTACGTCCAGGAAAGACCCCTGTATTGAGATAAAGGGAACCCCATCGTTTAACACTCAATACATCCCAAGATATCCAAAGCACTTAAGGAGTGTTTTCTCTATTTCTACCTCACTGAGTGATTTCCTACATCTCCCAGAATGCAGTGGGATCAATGTACACGTGTAGTGTTCAATAGGGTGGTGCAATAATGACGTATTTTTTAAGTAAAACCCCGGAAGTTAGCACCCTAAGGGCTCCCTCGACAAAAAGCCAATAGGATTTTACAATTGGATTTTGGGAATATTGCAGAAAATATGATCTGTGGAAATAATGATACTACACGTTTTGTTCAGCAGGATTTTCTCCACATACTAACACCATTTTGTAGTTTGAAGCGTAAATGCAATCAGCAGGAGTAAAAAGGCTAGCGTAATGCTATGAATTAACTACATTACGGTAGCATGGCTGCGCATCACCACCGCTAAGCTACAGGCGGCTAATGTTCGCCATGATGACGTTGAATAGTCTCCTTTAGTCACTTGTTAGCAACCGCCATTTTTAAGACACACAAAAGCGGACATTCAGCAGTATTTTATGTCGTAGAACAAAACGTGAAAATCTCTTCAGCTTGTTTTAACCACAGACCTAATCTCAGTCTAGTTACCAAAAACCAATCAAAAAACCATTGACTTTAAAATGAGAGAACCGGACTTGGTAAAATGCTGACTCATTCCCGGGTCTTTTTACTCATTCCTGCACCACTCTATTGTGGGAAAAAGATGGTTCCTCCACACAACGACAAATTGATCTCCAGGGGATCCAGAAGTTAAAAATCCATGTGTGTGGCCAGGTCTAATTGAGCCAAGAAATGCAAGATGCACCACCCAAAGAAATGTTTATTTTGAAGTGTTTTTATGTGGTAGGGTTGAATATTCCGGTCTCCCTAGTCAATCAAAAAACCATTGACTTTAAAATGAGAGAATGGGAAGTGGTAAATGCTGACTCATTTCCAGGTTTTAGGACTCATTCCTGCACCACACAAAGATGGGTTTCAATGCATGTTTCACCACCAAAGGAAATGTTTATTTTGAAGTGTTTCTGTGTGGTAGGGTTGAATATTCCGGTCTCAGCTGCTCCAACATATCCAAACCCCTACCAGGGTCTCCACATGGACCTCGGGTAGGTCACGGGGGTCTCGGGGCCCTCGCTGGAGCTCTGGTTCTGCTCGCTGTCGGTGTCGTCCAGGTCGGAGCACAGGTCCTCGCTGGAGGTGGTGGACGGGGCGGGGGAGAGGGCGGAGGACGAACAAATACTCTGTCCTCCGGGTGAGGCCAGCGAGGACGAACAGAGACTCTCATCGCCTCCGTGCCAAGAGCTGCTGCCGTTACTCCCAGAAGAAGTTTCCGTGATCAGGTCCATCAGGACGTCCTGCAGGTGGTCCTCGTTCAGCGGCATGCACTCCAGCAGGTGGTTCAGGAGCTCCGCCACCACCGTGGGGTCGATGCCGGGACACGTGGACACGAAGGTGTGGACCTCGTGCATGCACTGGATGTAGCCGGCAGCAAACCTCTCGCTGGCTTCCTGGGAGAGGGTGTCTGATTCTGTGGAGGAGAGGGGGGGGGGGGGGAGAGTGTGAGTAGCTGTGGCTTACTTTAGTTTATTTGAGAAACAGTCAAGTCAAAGTTAACTTTATTGTCAATCTTTCAGTTTGTGTGTACAGACAGAGAGATCCAAATACCGTTTCCCACAATCCCGAACACAAAAATACAAATATATATAGAAATATATATTATATATATACCTATATATACACAATCAACAGACACACTTATACATATGCACACATTAAGACATAAATAAAAGCACGACAATCAATATATACAAAATAACAGTCACTTCAGAACTGTAAATGTGCGAGTTGTCCCTTGACTAATTGTAGTAAGGCCAAAAACAGAACAGGAGAAATGATTGAGCGTGTTAGGTGTTGTCTTGTAAAGTAGGACATTTCAGATAGACAGTAAACAACCCTAAAAATATGACATTCTATAAGAGTAGAATTGACCTATTGTTAAAATACCACAAACTATCCTGTATTCCCTCTAAATAAGTTGTAGCTGTCATGTGATACCATTATTTGTATAAGTAAAAGTCTATTTGCGACGCTTCTGAATCAATTGCAAAAACATGATGCAACCAGCTTACTCAGAGCAATTTATTCCTGCTTTATTGAAATAACTTTAAGCCATACGAATAAGCAAATGTCTAAGAATGCATTTACCTGGATGCTGTTATTTCCTGCTGCCATTGCAACCACTTAAATGTATCTTGTGACCCCTGATGGGGCCCCGAACCCCAGGTTAGTAACCCCTGCTCTAGGCTCCAGGTTTTATTTGAATAATATCAAGCCCTAAATAAGCAAAAGTATCCAGAAATAACACGACGAAGACATTTTAATTTGTTCTGCTTCTACTACGACCCCTAAAATGCATCATGTGACCTCTTAATGGGAACCTGACCCCAAGCTTAGTAACAGCAACCCTAGATTCTAGGTTTTATTGAGATTGTACATCCTAAAAAAGCAAAAGTATCCAGGAATTCAGGTTGAAGAAACGTTTATTTCTGCTTCTCCTACACCCCCATGAAACTAATCGTGTGACCTCTTAATGGGGCCAAAATCCCCATGTTTGTAACCACTGCTCTAGATGTTAAGGTCTGAAGATAAAAGAGGATGCTTTTCAGAGTAAAACAGTGTCAGATTGTAAGGCTTTAACAGAGCTGTGCAGACCTTGGCTTCGGTTCTTCAGCACCTCCTCCACCTTCTTCACCGTCATCTCCAGCACCTCTGCGTTCTCCGTCTTGGAATGAAGCTGTGCGGGAAAAACAAACGTCAGAAACTCCATCAGAAAACCCCCAAAACCCTCCTCTGGACCTCGGCTCCAGGTGACCTCAGGTGAACTCACGTCTGAGTCCTCCAGCAGGGTGCGCAGCTCCTGCAGACTCTCGTTGATGCGAGCTCTCCTCTTCTTCTCCACCAGAGGCTTCCTGGTCTGAAAACACAATCAGACGTCCATTATTTGTCAGAAAGTGGGGACATGTGGCTCAGTGGATAGTGTGCTGGACTTCGAATCAGGGGATAGCAAGTTCGAGTCCCACTGCAGTCAGCATGTCGTTGTGTCCCTGGGCAAGACACTTCACCCCAAATTGCTCCTGTGGGGATTGTCCACAGTACTGAATGTATGTAAGTCGCTTTGGATAAAAGCGTCTAACAAATGACATGTAATGTAATGTACTGGTAAAATGTACAGTAGTGCAGCAAAGAGGAACGTGCAGATATACGGCAACAATAAAACAAGTAGACTAGTATATCAAAGAAAGAGGTAAGATCCAATAAATCAAATAAGTACACACAATAAATAGCAGCATTAGGAAAGTGAGCATATTAAAGTAAGTGAAAGTAGCAGTAGTAGTGATTAACTTAGTAAATTGTAAAAAAAGAGTAATATTGGATTCAATGAGCTTTGAATATTTGGATACACTATGTTGGACTTCATCTATTTTAGGAATCAATAAATGTTATTGAGGTTAAATTATAACGTAAATTCACTACAGAGGGTCACCTGTTTAACTAGAGCGTAAAGCCACATTTGTCCAAACAGTGGACAAATTATAACTTTAATCAATTGTAAGAAAAATGAAAGGTGTATAATGCACATAGCATTGGTATTTCTCATGTTCAGTATTGTGTGGTGTCGACACACCATGTGGATTCAATTAACTGAGAATCAATAAACGTCATTGCCATTCAACTCATTGATTTACGGAGTCACCTGTTCATCAAGTGCATAAAGCAAAAATGTGTCCATAGTGGTTGATTTTGAAGAGAAGTAGCAGACACAGTCAGCATTAATACATGACACAAACAGTGATGGTTGCACATAGTTATTTCTCAACAGTGATGTTAAGTAAGAGCCATCAAAGACATAAACTCACAGATTTGTATACGATATGTTGGATTGAATTAGCTGTTAGAATTATTACTCGTCTACCCTGCAGTATGCAAAGTCATTCAAACTAGCTGCACCTTTACCAGCTTTGATAACACTTTAATTATCAATCATTATAACACATATCATATATATTATTCTGAAATGGACCAATCTGCACAATGACTACTTTTACTGTCGCTACTTTATCTATATTTTGATGATAATACTATTCTACTTTTACTTGAGTAACATTTTGAATGCAGGGCTTTTACTGTAACAGAGTATTCCTACACTCTGGTACTTCTACTTTCACTAAAGTACCAGATCTGAGTGAGTACTTCTTCCACCTCCTTGGCGTTAACCTCTGCAGTAAAAGCATTGCAGAGCTTCACCGGTGTAACAAGTGCTTACATCCCAAGTGTCTCCAAATAGCGCCTGATCATTCCTTCATTAATCCGGGATTTGGTACCTTTCTGTCGGCTTTCTGAATCCCATAGTAGGACTCCTCGTCTTCATCCATATCCAGTTCGGAGCTGCTGGGTCGAGCCGAGGGGGCCATGTTGGTCTGATCTGAGGCTCCTTGTTCCAGAGTAGCAGCTGGCAAACGGAACCGGTTAAAAAAAAAAAATCGACAACAAGCTCTCAGGCAGAAGCGAGGCGCCCTGTGTTTATTGTGCAATCCTAGTGAGACGTGCTGCCGGCGCTGGGTGTCTGTTGTTAGTATTTATAGGGGCTTATTAACATGTGAATGGGGGCTGAGCTGCACAACAGAGCGCGCGCGGCCGCAGCCAATCAGCGCGCGCTCCCTTTGTCTCCGGCCAGCCCCCGGCTCGCGCCCCCAGGGGCTGCTGGGCTTTAATCTCACAGGCTGTTGTGTCAGGGCAACGACCACTGCGTTTTTTTCTCTCTTCATATCAACTGTGTGTTTCAAGTTTCAAGTTTCAAGGCTTTTATTGTCATGTGTACATAGCTACAGTGTGGTTATGACAATGAAAATCTTAGGTCACAGGCTCCTCCAACAGTGCAACACAATAAAACAGATACAATATTATACAGGTAAATAAGATATTAAAATAGAATATAATAGAAAGTGCAGAATATAGTCTATACAGTAATTGGAATATAGATATATATGAGTTGCAAACAGATGAATGTTATGTGCTTCCAAAGTCATGATCGTGCAGGATAAGATATGATGCAAAGTCGATGTATATTTTGGATAAAACCATGTCATCAAGGTTTTAATAGTTCACAGTGTAATGTTGCCATGGGTTTATTCTTGTATTAAAAATAGAGGTATGTCTCGTATTTTTGGTATTATGTATATCATATATGATTTTTTTTTATTCATATCAAGTGCAATAATACAGCTAGTGTGCAAAACATCCTTTATTTCAGTGGCGAACCGTGTCTATCACAACTCTTTTCACTGAATTGCAGTCTTGAAAAGGGTACTCAAAACAATTCCGCAACTACTTCATCTTCACCTGTTGCACTTGCCATTTCAACGTTAAAAACAATAAAACGGCATATGATTTGTTTCGTGGCATTCATCTAGAAACCTCTGTCTCGAGCCAGTGAACTACCGGGCCTTCTAGAATAGAGTGGCGAAGTCCCTCCCCTTCCGGTGGACCTCCATGGGACCTTATTTCGGAAAAATTATGTAATGAAGTCAATGGAGAGAGAAAGATTATCTTTCGATCCCGTTTGAATTGTGCCACGAATTACACATATGATGTTTGTCAATTTAAAAGATAATTTTGCAAGTCAAAAAAAAAAAAATGTGTCGTAAAACTGTGAAGTTTGAACATTGAACATTGAACATTTGTTTGTGTGAAACACTCAATGAACTACATCTCTGGTCAACAACGCACGTCACCAAGATGGCCGTCACTACTGTCTTGTCAACAAAACGATTGACTACCCTCACTATCACCACAATGAAACACGTCCTGAAGAATGTCATGCAAAGCTGCCTGCCTGCCTTCCTTTGATTCTCTCTGAACTGCCTGGTCGTTTTAATGTTTAATGTCAACCATTTGTGCAGATAGCATGAAGTAGAGAAGATCGTCGATGCTAGCGTTAGCGTTAGCATTTCTCCCCCGGGCTTAAATTGTGTATTATAGAATGACCACACCGGTGACAGTACTCTTGAAAGGGTTCACGAAATATGACTACTACTCTTACTGTTTAACATTTTGGGTTACTTAATGTTACTTCATGTTAAGGCTAATAAAAATGACAAGGCTGGAATGCTAACTAACGTGCTAGCTACTAGCTAGGTAGCTAACTTGATCAAGCCACTCCTGGTCCTTTCATCAGACGGGAAGCAAAAGAACGAGCAAGACCCATTGCTGGTATGATAACAACCTGGTACTAAGCACACAGGCATCTTGTTAAAGTTATCTTATCTTAGCCAGCGCCATATAGATAGATTCTATCTATATGGCATTATCTTATCTTAGCTATCTCTATTTTAGTGGAAGAAAACAATTGTGACATCACTTACGCGACTCTGGGATTTGTAGTCTTTCTAGTTGCGTATTTTTCATAGTCTTATATTTCAACAGTTTTACGACAAACTGTGACTTTTTTGACATGGAAATGATTTTTTAAGATTGACAAACATCATATGTGTAATTCATGGCACAATTCAAACGGGATCGAAAGATACGTTTTCTCTCTCCATTGACTTCAATTACATTATTTTTCCGAAATAAGGTCCCATGGACCGGAAGTAGATGGGCGTGACTTCGCCACTCTATACCCTGGAACCGAGGGGAACTCTGAAAGAATACGCCCATTGGCTACAAATCAATATATGATTGGTTGATCAAACTGTCAGTCCAAACGTACGCTCTCATTCAGTGTGAGGGCCAGGGCATTCTATCAAGGATATAGAATACCTTGGTTGAAGGATATTCTACCCAGAGACTCAGAAAAATATCTCAATTGGTTGCATTTCTTTTCTAACACAAAACCACTGAAATGCGTAGTGCATGGTCCGAGAAGGACAAACAAATCAACGTAACACTGTAATATTACAGATCAACAACACAGATACCATTCTCATTTATTCATTTTATTTACATTTTATATACATTTCATTACATTTTATTTATATAATTAAATCGATTTTTTGTTTGTTTTATCTGAGTGTTCCAGGGTATTCTCTGAATACCTTTTTTTTATGTGTACTGCTTGCTTTTATTTGTATTAACGTGTTCTTGCCTCTTTATTTATTTAGTATGTAGCCCAAGTCTACTATGTTTACGTTTGCCTTTTATCTGCACTGTACCTTTGCTGTTGTAATGCTGTGAATATAACAAATAAAAACAAAGAATAATGGATTTCTGATTCATTATCCAAACAATGGCTTGGTATTTATTCTTATTGCACAGTTTTCTGACCACGTTGACTCACCACAGCCTTCCTGAACTTTTGAAAGAACATCCATAACATTCATCTGTCTGCAACTTATATATATATATCAATATTCCAATTACTTGTATATAGACTATTCTGCACAATTTCTATTATATTCTTTTTTATTTTATTTACTTGCACTATTATCTGTTTTATTGTGTTGCTCTGTTGGAGGAGCCTGTGACCTAAGATTTAATTGTCAAAACTACACTGTACAAATGACAATAAAAGCCTTGAATCTCCTTGAATCTATCAGTAAATATCTCCTGTTTTTTCCCCCTGCCCGACCGCTTCCTCTTCCTGCGGTCCTCAGTGTCCGAGCCTCAGCAGATTTACCGGCTGCTCTCGGATGTAACGCGATGCCTTCAGTTGGCAGCTGCTCGTGGCCCCTCGGATCCAAACTGAATCAGCCGGGGGAATTAAGGGCCCTTCTCCAAAGAAAGCGACAGGTGTTGCCCTGCGTCTCGTTTGTTCTCCGTTTGTTTGGTGACTTCTGATTTGTGTGCAACTGCATTCTCACGTTCAGCTCTGCTGCTCCAGAGTGCACAAGGTCTGATAGCATATGGCTACACCCATATCTTTATCATGCTGGATGTATAAGCATGCACTATATGAAGTTCAAAACAACATTAGGGCTGCTGAGAATTAAATGATGCTTCTTGTGGTGTCAGTTTTGGACTTTTTGCTTTTGGATGTGCTGGTTTTGTCCTTTACGCACAATGTCTATGTGTTTATGTCTATTAAGAGCACTCTGCCCTCGTTATTATTAGTGTTTCGTACACTGTATTATCATGCAAATGACCCTCACAATAGAGCAGTTATGTCTGCTTGGAAAAGAAGATCACAGACATCCGTCCAGGACAGGTAAATGCAACGTGGTATACTAAAGTGTCCTTTTACGCACATCATTTGCGCAAAACAAACACCACAAAACTCCAACGTCCTGAATGCAGGATGAGTTTCAGACTTTTGAAGTGGAGGTTTTTGGCACCTCGCCACTCCCAGATCGCTGCTCCAGATCATTAATGGTGTGGACTGTGGAGAGCAGCTGTCTGGCTCGCTTTTGTTGGAAAGCTCCGCTGAGGGACCAGCCCCCCCCCCCTCCTCCTCTCCCTCTTCAGACCCGCCGCCTGGCTCCATGTGGCGGCCAATCATAACGACAATAATAGCGGGAGAATGGACCATATGTACGTTTTCACTTCCCAAAACCCCATGATGAATTACTTCTTTATTAAAACAGAAATGTACCAGAACGCTTGCTTTCACCACGGATGACATCTTGACGGTGTTGTGCACCAAGATGCAAATGGCTATGAGGGTGAAGTGCTCCCAAACTCTGTTTTAAACCTCACTGATTGCTTATGTGTGCATCCCCCTTATTTTTTTTATTGTAGTCCAGCGACCACTGATTATAGAAGAGTGTCAGTGTCTCCAACATAAAAAAGCTCCATGCACAATCCAGTCCCTGTCAAACATGACTGGATGTCTTGTCCTTTCATTAACAAAACAAATACCACTAACTATAATTATTTTGTTCATTACTTCTGTGCAAATTCACAACTACTAAAGAAATAGTCCCTATGGAAATTGTGAAATAAGATCAGGTGCAACAAATACCATAATTGATTGTTCTAGTGTTACAATGCACAACCAGGTTCATTCATCGTTCATTGGATTTCTACATTTCTGGTAAGACACACCTGGGGCGGGGGTGGTGAAGTCCATAGGGACTTGGCTTGGGAACCAGAAGCTCAACAGTTCAAGTCCCAGAAAGACCAAGTGTTACCAAGGTGTCCCTGAGCAAGGCACTGTTCCCTGGGCAGCGTACACATGGCAGCCCACTGCTCCTAACACTAGGATGGGTCAAATGCAGAATGTACATTTCCCCTCTGTGGGACTAATAAGGGTATATATATATATATAAAATAAATCATTAAATGATATTCTCCATTGTATTGACACCACTGGAGGTAAGTCAGAAAAATATATTGCTAAATAATGTGTGCACTGGCCCTTTAATTGAAGATACACTTTTACAATGAAGACTGAAAAACACGTATCAATCCTGACCAGTTTTAAGGAGGGACCAGTCCTCTGAGATGTTACTGAGAAAAGAAATCGAGTTAGCTAATTAAAAATGTTGTTGATTACAAAGGGGTTACATACAAATATATATAGTTGTTTTCGTAAGAAGCTTATATGTAAACATATATTGTGGTTCTTTCTGATTCAAGGTAAATTGATAAACTTACGATACAAGTTTGACAGTATTCAGTGTTAAGGGCTTTGTTGTGCAGTCTTATTTGTTAGAGTATTATTTTTAAATAGTTCATCCATTTCAAGAGACTAGACTTGCACTACCACACAATAAACTCTGGCATATATTCAACATGTATTAGTGTTGAAGCTCACATGATAACTACCAGACAGACATTCAATAACAACATATTTTTCATTTGAAGAGGGGTAAATAAGAATATTAAAATGACTGAAGCTTCAGTTTCAGGATCCTGTTTTCATGCTTTCTGATTCACTGTCATGATCGACTGAATCATTTTGAACAGAACAAAGCCATTGTTGATCTCTGAAGAAACACCTGAGCGTTTCCTGTACTTTAACAAGTCAATGTTGTTGATACATTTTATTATGAAAATAACTGTTTATAAGGTAAAAATAAGAGTTTCCTGCTGGCTCACAGACACACTGTCATTGAAAATAGTCACTGTTCATTTTATTTTCATTATGCTATACACACACACTGTCGTGTTTGAAGACAAAACACAGATAACATCTCAGATTAGTTTCTCCTCCGTCAGTCTGACATGTGTTGCCGGGCAAGTTGAGTGTTTACCTGAGTTTATTGACTGAAAACACCTGTCTGTCTGTTGTACAGTGAGACTGAACCGTCCAGTGTTTGCAGCTTGAAGTATATAAAACTAATAACCCAATAAAGAGGCACCTTGAGCTGCAGCATGGGGTCACATGTAGCTATCAATGTTTAGACCCCCATTGTAGTCATTAGATGATATTTGATTCAAAATGTAGGTCAACAAATATTGATATATGCAGTTTTTTGACTGTTTTCAAAATGTCTTCTGGGTATAGTCTTTAGGCTAATCTCTTTTCTTTTTCACAGCTCTGCTACAGCTTCCCTCTCCTAAAAAAATCCAGCTTAAACAAACAAAGAAACAACAACCAAATATGCCTCATTTGATTTTGTATGTGTGTTTTGATTCGTATGATACTATAATAAATATCCTGAACAGTTTGGATGTGATTTCCTGTCCTTCTGTACTGCATGGCAAATAAAGCAGATTTCAAAATGAACAACTGTACATGGGACATGATTTTTCACAAAGATGAATAAAAGCTTTATTATTATTATTGTCGTTCGGGTTAATCCTACAGCAAAGGAGGAATACATACACATCTATGCAATAGCAAGCAGAATAGTTTAGTCTTAAAATGCCTTATAATATCAAATAAATAAAGCAGTTAATACAATAAATACACAAAAAGATTAATAGGAGCCTTCTATAATGCAGGCTACGAGAGGTCGACTTCTAAAGGGAAGTACTGAGGAATCATTATAGCACATCCACAATAATCATAATAACCACCGGAACAAAAACTGCCCCACGTTTGTCTTCTGAGCAGCATATCTATAAGATACATAACGGATCAATCAACCATCCAGAGGGTCACCAGGGTCTCCACATCTCCAGGTCTCCTCTGAGGGGGGAGAACCCTGGGAGAGGAGCATCATTTCGGGGTGAAGGCGGCTCCTCCCCCTCTTTAGATTTGGGCAGAGATTTGAGGAGGTGTTTGAGCAGGCGGGAGCCCAGAGTTTTGTCCATCCACTCGCAGGTGAGCAGCATGTTGTGGACTTCATGCATGCATTGGATGTAGCCTGTGCTGTACTTCTGCTGAGCCTCCAGGCCTAATGTGGGGTCTGCAGGGGGAGAAAAGAGGAGGGGAGTGAGGTTAGAGCAGCCTCTAGTGGGCAAAGTAGAGAATGCATGCAGTCAAATATAGAATTGAAGAGATGAAACCATAGACTGTATATAGGATGAAACCCCTCTTTTAATGGTCACACATGCAGAGCACACAGCACACACAGTGACATTTGGCATCTGCATTCAACCCATCCTAATAGTAGGAGCAATGGGAGTGAGGGAGGAAGGGGGGTGTCCGGTGCCTTGCTCAAGGCACCACGGCAGGGCAGGAGGTGAACTGGGACCTCTCCAAGTCAGTCCACACTCCATATTTAGGTCTGGTCGGGGACTTGAACCGGCGACCCTACGGCTCACAGTCCAAGCCCCCTACTGACTGAGCCACTGCCGGAAAATGTTGTCAACTATGGAAGAAATGGATCGTTTATGACACTGTGGAAAAAGGCTAAGGCATATGCTTTTCAGGAGACTACACAATGCATCTGTTTGCAAATTGTAACCACGACTGTTGAATTTCAGTTTGACGTTTATTTTATTTATTTCATTGTCTTTTATTTATGATCTTGTACTTGTGTTTTCTATCATTGTTATATGCCAAGAAAAGCCACAAGTACAATGTGATTTTTCAGTTTTGTTTCTCCATTATGTACAAACTTAAAGGTAGGGTAGGTAAGAATGGAGAAACCAGCTCGAGTGCGCTATAATTTGAAAGTACGCAGCCGAAAAGAATCTGCCCCTTCCTTCAGACTTCCTTCCAGAGCCCCTCGTCCAACCCACACGAACGTGCACATGACCAATGAGGGCACGAGATAAGTTTGTGCACGAGATGGAAGGCTGACAGGCAGGTAGGCCATCCAGTTATTTTAGCCGGGCCGGCTCAGATGATTGGTCGTGCTTTTACAGCGCAACGGTTTCCAAAGATGAATTTATTTATTAATGTATTTATTGTCAAAGCATTTAATGTATTCTTTGCTATCGGGATGTTAAGAGCATTCCATGGAATATAACTCAAGTTTAAAAAAGATGTTGTCAACTGTTCTTAACATCCCGATAGCAATGAATACATTAAATGCTTTGACAATAAATACATTAATAAATAAATTCATCTTTGGAAACCGTTGCGCTGTAAAAGCACGACCAATCATCTGAGCCGGCCCGGCTAAAATAACTGGATGGCCTACCTGCCTGTCAGCCTTCCATCTCGTGCACAAACTTATCTCGTGCCCTGTGTTTACATGGTAATGGTCCTATCAAGCTAAAAAACGGTCATATTTCACCGTATATTGACTCAATGAATAACCTAAATGAATGGGATGACAGTTAGTATTATAAGGATCAATCCAAACTATAATATGTAAACACGTGTGACATCTGTTTATAGTGCTCATACCCAAATGTGCACATAATATTACATCATACAGTGATCTAGTTGTACCGTCTGTTTCATCTTCTATTATAAATGTACACATCTTTCTTATTTCTGCGACTTCCTTGAACCTTTTTATGTGCTTTACTTTGCTATATTATTCTGCATATGACAAATAGAGCCTTTGAAAGCTTTGAATCGTCGCTTTGAACACATGTTTCTTACCGTGGCTGCTCTGGATGTTTTGCAGATGCTTCACTGTCATCTCCAAAATGTCGGCTTTTTCCAGTTTGGATTGCTGTGGAGAGATGAGAGCATGAAATCACTAATTACATTTATTCAGTGACTGTACTTACGGACACTTTTGAGATACTTGTACTTTAGTTCAACATTTCCATTTTATGCTACTTTGTACTTCTACTCCACTACAGTTCAGAGGTATATATGTACTTTTACACCACTCTAATATTAAACAATATAATCAAGTGTTAAATCAGACTTTAGTTCCACCTGGAGTAAATTCACAAGCTACCCTGCAGTATACAAAGTCATTCAAACTAGCTGCACCTTTACCAGCTTTGAGAACACTTTCATGATCAATCATTATAAAACATATCATATATATTATTCTGAAATGGACCAATCTGCACAATGACTACTTTTACTGTCGCTACTTTCACTATATTTTGATGATAATACTTTTCTACTTTTACTTGAGGAACATTTTGAATGCAGGACTTTTACTGTAACAGAGTATTCCTTCACTCTGGTACTTCTACTTTTACTCAAGTAGAAGATCTGAGTACTTCTACTTTTACTCAAGTACAAGATCTGAGTACTTCTACTTTTACTCAAGTTCAAGATCTGAGTACTTCTACTTTTACTCAAGTACAAGATCTGAGTACTTCTACTTTTACTCAAGTACAAGATCTGAGTACTTCTACTTTTACTCAAGTACAAGATCTGAGTACTTCTACTTTTACTCAAGTACAAGATCTGAGTACTTCTACTTTTACTCAAGTACAAGATCTGAGTACTTCTACTTTTACTCAAGTACAAGATCTGAGTACTTCTACTTTTACTCAAGTACAAGATCTGAGTAGTAGTAGTGCTGAAAGGTGCTATATAAATACAATTGCCTTGCCTTGCCTTACAAGACCTGAGTACTTCTACTTTTACTCAAGTACACAATCTTTGTACTTCTACCACCTCTGCCTTGAAGTAAGCTTGACTCAGACTCCATTGTTTACTTACAGAGAAGGTAAGACGTGATGAAATACTCACATCTAGACTGAACGCTCCGATCACAGTGTCTTTGAGCTGATCCAAACAGTTGTTGATCCTCTCTCGTCGTTTCCTCTCGATCAGCGGCTTCCTCATCTGAAAGATTTAAACATAACTTAAGTGAAATGCAGAGGACAACGAGGTCCAAACTGTGTACCATAACCAGAGGTGTTAAGTTACCAAGTATTAACTCAAGTACTGTACTTAAGCACAACTTTAACCCATAAGGACCCACCGTGACACGGGTGTCACATGAACTTTAAATGTTCTGGAAAGTTCCTTATACAGCTTTAGCCTTTATTTTATCTCATGAAGTCCCTAACTGACACACACTGAACAGTCTGGTGGGTCATGGTCCAGGTCATGTGACTTTGTGTTCCCATGACAACATGTCCAAGATGTCCATGTGCCAGACTAACACATGTGACATAACGAGCTACATTTCAAAAGCTTTTTTTTTGTGCTTGAGTTAATATGTTCTTATTCTTCAATTCAAAGAATGTTCAAACTAATTTAAACCAAAAAATCATCCTCATTAATGAAGTTAAAAATAAGAGTTGTTTTACCATTAAAGCCCAATGTGACATATACGTCACTTTTCAGATATTTGACACGAGGGGGGGTCTCTTGTCAGAAATGTGTTCTAGGTGGTCTATTTAGTCTAAATGATGTTCCCCTTAATTTTCCCAAAAGTAGAGATGGGTCCGATACTTATACTTTACTTGAGTATTACCATTTTCTGATACTTTATACAGTACTTCTACTCCACTACAGTTCAGAGGTACATGGTGTACTTTCACTCCACTACATGTATTTAATACCTTTAGTTACTTTACAGATGTGGATGAATGATGTGAAATATAATCAAGTGTTAAATCAGACTTTAGTTCCACCTGGAGTAAATTCACAAGCTACCCTGCAGTATACAAAGTCATTCAAACTAGCTGCACCTTTACCAGCTTTGAGAACACTTTAATGATCAATCATTATAAAACATATCATATATATTATTCTGAAATGGACCAATCTGCACAATGACTACTTTGACCTTTGGTGCTTTAACTTGAAAGCAGGTCTTTTACTTGTAACAGAGTATTCCTACACTCTGGTACTTTTACTCAGGTACAAGGAAAGAGTACTTTTTCCACCTCTGATCATAACAAGTGGTGTAGAGTAACTAAGTACATTTACTCAAGTACTCTACTTAAGTACACTGTTGAGAGACTTGTGATAATGTTAACTATAAACAACACAAGCTACCCTGCAGTATACAAAGTCTAAAAGTCAAACTAGCTGCACCTTTACCAGCTTTGAGAACACTGTAATGATCAATAAATATAATCTAAACATATAATGTGTAATATTCTGAATCTGCATAATACTTGAAGTACAATTAGACGCTAAAACACTTTTGTACTTTAACAGGAGTATTCCTACACTCTGGTACTTCTACTTTTACTACAAGATCTGAGTACTTCTCCCACCTCTGATCATAACACAGATATCGCTCAATACGTAAATACCTTTCTCTCCTAATACTTTTCTACTTTAACTTGAGTAACATTTTGAATGCAGGACTTATACTTGTGACAGAGTATTCCTACACTCTGGTAATTCTACTACTTCTACTACAAGATCTGAGTACTTCTCCCACCTCTGATTATATTGCTCTATATTCATAAAGTGTAAATACCTTTCTCTCCTAATACTTTGAGTACATTTAGATGCCAAAAACGTCTTGAGTAATATTTTGAACACAGGACTTTTACTTGTAACAGAGTATTCCTACTACAAGATCTGAGTACTTCTCCCACCTCTGATCCTAACAAACATATTGCTCTATATATATATAAGATGTAAATACCTTTCTCTCCTCCTTGGCGCTGGGATGTCTCCCCACGTTGTGCGCCGTGGATGAAGCGGTCATGTTTGCTCCTCTGGATCTCAGCTCGTCTCTAGGGCCCTCGGCGCCGCGCGGCCCTCTTATTTATCCGCCTCAATTAGCATGTGAATGCTCCGAGCTCTTTGGCTGTGGGATTTTCCCACACAGGGGCTCCCATCAGTCAAGACTGACAGGTCACTGGCTCCATTCAATAACCCAGAGACCCGGCCTAGAAAAAAAACACACACTCACAAGCGACAGATGTCCAGCCTGAAACCATGCACCCCTCTCCCCCTCCTCCTCCTCCCCCTCTTCCTCCACCCAACACAGAACAGTTTCCTCTTCTCCCATGGATGAACAAGGGTGTGCAGTTACTGCTTTACTCCAGGGAGACCCTCGCCTATTCTTCTCAGGAGCAACGTTACACTATACCTGCAAAAAGGCCAAAGACACAATAGAGCGACAAATCGCTTCATTATTTATCTGCCAGTATGGGTTTGCCAGTATGCAAGATGTGTCACTTCGACCCAGAGAGGCTACAAGTCTGGTAACAAACATAAAATACACATACCATACTGCTATATCTTACTATATTTCATATTATTTTAAATATGTTTTAATGTTATTATAGTTTTCGTAACTTCGTAGTGTTTCTGTGTTTTTACTTTTATGTATGCACCACGACACCAAGTCAAATTCCTCGTACGTGTCAACTTACCCGGTGATAAACCTGTTTCTGTTTCTGATTCTGATTCTTGTTTTTTTTTGTAATCAAGAAAATATATATGAACATCCTACATTATACGAGCAACATTACCCTACCTGCAAAAAGGCCAATCCTTATCCCCCCCAAAAAACACAATTGACCGGCAAATCACTCGAGGATATATCTGTAAAGTAACCATACTGTACTTAAGTTGGATTTTTGAGAGCCTTGTACTTTACTTGAGTGTTTCTTGAGTATATAAACTGAATACTTAATTCTTTAAATACTCTATAGATAGGCCTATATACTGTATGCTTTATTGTTTATGTCATTTCTTTCAATATTCAATTTCTAACAGATTTACAAAGCCTTTGTTTACCTGCAAAACAAACTTCCCAATGTGCGATCAATTTAGATACTTTAACATAAGTTATTTACTCGTTTTTTGCTGCTTCACTATTCTTGTCTATTGTATTTTTCTATCCTTACCAAAAACCTTAGGCAAATTCCTTGTAAGAGAACACTTATTGGCAAAAAACTGCAGCAGGAGGAGAGTCAGCCTCACTTCATTTTGAGAAACAACTACGGACTACAGTCAGTCTATAAAAAAACAAAACGTCTTGCAGTGTGTGTCGCCAGCTTTGAGCTTTGATCACTCTCCTGTTTTCTAATGTCAGACATCTGCTCTTAACTGTTAGGAGCAGATGTCAGATTGACCAGATGAACCCCCCCCCCCCAACCCACACACACACACACACACACACACACACACACACACACACACACACACACACACACACACACACACACACACACACACACACACACACACACACACACACACACACACACACACACACACACACACACACACCTTCAGACCCCTCAAAGCGCGAGCCCCTGTCAGAGCCACGCGACTGCCAGGCGAATGCCGGGTCGTGGGAACCAAAGCAGAACAATGGCGGCCATTCATCCAAAACTACAAGCAAGTAGAGCAGAGAAGCTGAACTGTCCGGAGGAGGAGGAGGAGGAGAAGAAGAAGAGGAGAAGGAGAGGAGGAGGAGGAGGAGGAGGAGGAGGAGGAGGAGGAGGACACAAAGAACACCTCCAGGGGATGTGAAAAAAAAATGCAATTATAAGAATTAAAATAATCTAATTAAATTAATTGATAATGAAATAAATAAAATAATTTATTTATTAGTCTATTTATTTATTCATTTATTTCTGTATCTATTTATTCATGTTTTTATTCATACATTTATTTATGCATTTATTTATCTATACATATGTCAAGTTCCGTCCTCCATAAGTGAGGGTCTGAGCTCTCTAATCGATCTGAAGCACTATCTGAAGCAGTCACGTGGTATCGACGGACAGCGAGGCTTCGTTTCTCATCGATGACGTCACTAGCCGATACACGCTTCAGCCTCTGCGCAGTACGTCACATCACTATTGGTAACATGTTTGTGTGGAGGGAGCGCCCCCTTGCGTAGTGCACGCGTCCCTATTGCCATGACACCAGCCAACCACAGGGGGCGGTAGAGTCCGCTGCAGAGACACCAGCTCAGAGACAGCGTTAGGAAACAGGAGCTGCACAACCACAAACAAGCGGAGGTAAAATAAAGCAGGTTTTATTCCAAGGAGCACCTGAGTGGCCTTTAGCTGTCTTGACAAAGCGGGGGAAACCGGAGGAAACGCCGTTTAACAAGGTACTGTGTATGTGTGAGTGTGTGTGTGTAAATAAAGCCATGATTCTATTTGCAGGCACTGTGGTGTGAGGCTACTTTAGCCACCAACGGCTGCCTTAGCTACATTATCTATCGTTACTTTGCTTGTTTGACAGCTCTTAATGAGTGAAAACGTTTAAGCTGAACATTGCCTGCCGTTTGTGATGTGCTAATGTCGGGCATGGGCTTTATGGTCCTAGCGCATGGATGTATAAAGAGAACTCCGTTCATTCCTATGTAGTTGCTCAGTAGCGCATGAAGCCAAAACAGAGAGACGGTAGATTCAGACAGTACCCGGATGTGGGCCCATTACGCGTGCGCAGTAGAGGTTTCATTAAGCCCCGCCTCTGATCTACAGCTCTCTGTCAGTCAAATGAATGGAGCGAGAAAATAGATCTGGTTTCAGCTTTTAATCAAATCAAATCTAACGTTATATATATACAACACCTAACTCAAAGAGTACAACAATAAAACAATACTATCTCCCCCTTCCCAGGTAATATCCAGACTAACACATAGCTTTGTGAGTAAAAATGACACTTAATACCAACACAGGACTGAATAAAACGGGAATAAAATAACTATAAAAATGTAACAAAAAGGAATAAAATAAGAATGAAGTTATAAGATGAATGGAGAGGGAAAATAACTCTGGATTCAGCTTTTTTTTAAGCGCATTTTACAACTTTTACACCCTATGGATTTAAATAGGGGCTATAAAAGTGTACGTGCTGGGTAGTTTATTAACATATACAAAAATTACAAGCTAATTTACAGACATCTTTTTACCAATGTAAGTAAATGGGGAAAAGTCTTTTTGGGCCAAAATGACGTCACTGGAGTTGTAGTACCACCGTTTGGCCACTACGACCATTCATAAAAATCTGCCTCAACGGCCGGCGCGCACTTCCTAGCGCGAGGCCTGGCTAACGTTTAGCTAGCAGAGCTGGATACCAAACTGTCATTAGCAATGTCAACGTTACTTTACAAATCTCTACCTTTAAAACATAGTTACTTCTCAAAGTCTATGCTGTTTTTGAATACATCTTAATAAGATTGAGAGTTTCTGTAAAGATTAGGCCCGCCGAGGCCTGCTGTGAGTCGACACACACTTCCAATTAGCACGGTTGTTTGGTGGACAGTGATTGATATATAATAGGCCACGTTTCCCTACAAACGGATACAAAGTAAGATCTCAGGTGAAAGGGAAAGGGTAGCTGAATCACACACCTCTCTTCGGTTCTGCCGTGATGTTAAAACACATTGAGCAAGTATCCCTTTTGTTAGCATTGCGTAAAGTTGTCTGGCTTCACACCATCACAAACCAGGCATGGATACCAGAGGGGCGGTGCTCTATGTCAGACCCTGACCTACAGACCAGGTGGAAGAGTCCTGCACTGAAAACAAAGTAGAACTAACAGAGTGTAGAATAAAAATATAATAATAAAGATTTGTCACAGCAGCATTGTTGACAGTCATTGTGCAAGAATTACAAAAATATTCTTAATAGTTCTTAAAAACTGCAATAACACTGTGTAACAAATCACCTCTGGCTGGTAGAGAAATCTCTGCTCCATAGTTTCTCTCTTCACTGTACATTTTACACTTATATATTCAGTTTAATATGTAATATTCCATCTGTCACATACTTATGTATATATAATACCTTGCTTTATATCTTGTTATTGTTACTTTGTAAATTCAACATGTATATTTTCTACTTTCTTGTTTATTTCTTGTCTTTTAATTTGTTTTGTACAACACCATGTCTTTTTATGCTGCTGCGACACAAACATGTCCCAAATTGGGATCAATAAAGTACTTCTTATTCTTATCTTAGTAGAAAACATAAAATGAACATTGAAAGCATATTATATATACTTATTCACAGTAAAAAAGACATGCATTCACAACAGTGTCTAAGATTACACACTATACTGTAGTAGAAGAAGTAGTCAGATCTTGTACTTGAGTAAAAGTAGAAGTACCAAAGTGTAGGAATACTCTGTTACCTTTTGAAAGCAGGACTTTTACTGTAACTCAATTAAAGCAGAAAAGTATTATCATCAAAATATAGTTAAAGTAGCAACAGTAAAAGTAGTCATTGTGCAGACCTACCTACCTACCTACCTACCTGCCTACCTACCTACCTACCTACCTACCTACCTACCTATAAAGAATCATGAATTGAAAAAAACTCAAGTATAATAAAAGTACGTTCATGTTTTACTTAAATACATTACTTCAGTAAATGTACTCAGTTACATTCCACTACTGGCCTTTAACTACTGCCGTAAACGCAGGTATGTAAAGCCTTCTCTGTCCAACAAAACGCTGGGTTCATTTGAAAGACTTCTTACTTTCCTTTCCGTCTCTAGCCCATGTTAGGGTGAGTTTATGGTAATTATTTGTTATCAGCCACCAGCTCATTTTGAACCTACCATATGCTTCCTTCCTATTTGCGTCAGTGACACTGATCAGAGGTAGCGAGGCGCTTCTGCATTAGTCTGTCAAGACGGATTTGACCTGGCAAAGTCGAGGTGTCTAGATTGATCGAGCAAAGTGCCTCGGTCACCATGTTGTGAACCACGTTTTATATTTCAACTCTGTCACACATGACACATCATTTACGAACGCCCACCTCGGTGCTGGTGCCTGGTTTATATTCCTGGCCACAGCGTTGCTTTCTAAATGTGGACTCCCTGCCAAGAAATAAGAGGACCAGTTTGTGACTACTACACTGCTCCTGTGTTCAGAGTTCAGGTTGGTGACAGACTCTCAGATCAGTGGCTCTTAGTGTTCGATCTGTACCTAATTAATAGTGTTTGGGGCAAACATCAATAGCCCACCATCTTGAAAACATGTCAAAAAGGAGCATATTGGAATTAAATACATTCTTGGCTGAAATGATCATGATATTGGGATTAGTGCTGCTACTTTATTTACATTTTAAATTATTTATTTTACAGATGCAGGGTGTCCGCGGAGTCTTAAAAAGTATTAAAAGTTGATAAATCAATTTAGCGAAAATTAAGGTTATTAAAAAGTATTAAACAACATTTTTCAAGGTATTACATTTTGTAGCTTGTTTTCAATAAGTATATAAATTGTCCAAAGAGGTTGTATTCTACAGTCTGCCTGAATGTAATCATTGCGTAGGTGTGTAGTGTGATTCTGTGTAGTTTATTT